CACACACACACACACACAGAGGTATACAGTTTGAGTTCCTGCTTTTCTTCACCTGGATCGAAGGACACCTGACCATCGCACATTTGAGCTCCAAGTGTCTGCCAGGCTGTCTCCTCCCACCAACTCATGTCCTTGAGGACTCAGGGTTTGTTCGGGCAGTCGTGTCCTGACTGACTCATGCAGGAGTCGGTGTGTCATGCTCGAGCCTCCTCCAGCTGTGCGACTGCGGATGTTTTTCCTGGTTTTGTTCATAAATGTGTTAAACGTCTGGATTCTCCTCGTCTTGAGTGAACCAACCCTGCTCACGCAGGTGCGACCCTCACAGGTGTTAGCAGAGCGTGGTATCAGAGATAATGTGTGACGCTGTGCCGTGTGCTGCCGCTTTCAGCTGCGTAACCCATCAGATAAGTTCATCTACGCCACAGTGAAGCAGAGCTCGGTGGATATCTACTTCAGAAGGCAGGTGGAGCTCAGCACCATGTACCGGCACATGGAGAAGCACAACTACGAGAGCGCCGCCGAGGCCATCCAGGCTGTGCGAGACAAGTAAGCAGCTCAGAGTCAGCACACCTGTCGTGAACGCACCTGTTGTACTGTGGAGATTGCCTCTGTCAACACGTTCGCCCTCCTCCCGCAGTAAGCTTCACGCCTTCATCTGGGACAGCGCCGTGCTGGAGTTTGAGGCGTCGCAGAAGTGCGATCTGGTGACGACAGGAGAGCTGTTCTTCCGCTCCGGATTTGGGATCGGAATGAGGAAGGACAGCCCGTGGAAACAGAACGTGTCTCTGGCTATTCTCAGGTACGAAAACCTTCAGGTACTCACCTGCAGCCCATCCTGGGTGTGTTTTAGCGAACAGGAACACTTTGAGAAGCTGAAAGATGTTTCTGTTGTGTCACAGCGGTTCTTTTCTCTGATCACCAAAGACACATTCTGATTGGCTGCGGTTACAGTCAGAGTTAGAGTCATCACCGATGATGGCCAAGAGGATTTCTACTCCGCCAACACACTCCTGAAACGACCAGCGGGAGGGTGTTGGTGGAGTATGTGCTTACAGCTTTCGTGTTTCCTCCACCTCGTAATGTCGAACCATTTTCCCAAAATGTTGACTCTGTTCATCTGGACGTTTTCAGTGGGAGAAACGTCTCTTTAGGGGCCTTCCCCTCTGACAGATGTCCAGCTGGGATATCCACATTTACTCAGGGCCTTCTTCATGTGATGTTCTGCTTCTCTGGCCACTGTGTCTGTGAGGATGTTGGCTCTGTGCTGTAGGGTCATCAATGATGATGAAACTGACCTCAGCACATTGTTAGTCAGTGCTGCTAGTGTCAATCGTGTGCATCTCTGGCCTTAAGTACTCTTAATTGATGATTAGAGTCAGTACAAAAAGGCGGGCAAGATGGCAGGACACGCCCACACGTGACCAATCTCACAGGAGGCCCCGCCAGGGCCGTAAAAACATAAAAAGTGAGTGACCTGGGGTGTGGAGGATGTCACACAGACACATATTTCCACATTAAAACCACCTGAGCACAAACCAACATCTGAGCAATCAAATACGTGTCCGCTCACGCTTCATTGACTCTCCACAGTTCTCATGAGAACGGCTTCATGGAGGATCTCGACAAGACGTGGGTTCGATACCAGGAGTGCGACTCCAGGAGCAACGCCCCGGCCACCCTCACTTTCGAGAACATGGCAGGTAGGACTCAGTGCTGCCTCTGCTGCATGAACTGCGCCCCTGCGGCTGTGCCGTTTAGCAGATGTTACCTGTGAAGCGTTTCACGCCGTCTCTCGTCACTTGTGCCCCTCAGGTGTGTTCATGCTGGTTGCTGGAGGCATCGTGGCTGGGATCTTCCTCATCTTCATCGAGATCGCCTACAAACGGCACAAAGACGCCCGCAGGAAACAGATGCAGCTCGCCTTTGCTGCCGTCAATGTGTGGAGGAAGAACCTGCAGGTACGCGCCTCTACTTTACTCTACTTTACTTTACGCCCTGACCTCTGCTGAAGCTCTGTGTGGCGTTATGGCACTCAGCCCACCTGTCTGTGGCTCTGCGGTAAACAGTATTCAGTATGTGTGATCCTCACAGCGAGGTCATTATAGCCAGCAGCAGGACTGAGATCAGGATCAGGCCTTTGTTTTTACGTCTGTTAGGAAACATCTGTCATCTTTGCTGTTTAATAGGAGAAGCATGAGTTTTGTGCTCAGGATGAAGGGTTGTGTTAATTAAACTGACTGCTGATCATCAAGAGCGTGCTCACTGATGCTTGGTTAGCTTTCAGTGGCTCCGTGAAGCTCGGGTCGTTTTCTGATTCACCGGTGAGTGATTTATTCTGTAACTGTGACCAACAAGTGAAAAATGCCCAACGGACAGCCCAGAGCCCCCAGAACAGAAAATGTGTCATTTTCTCTTTTGTGAGTTTAGTCAGAGGTTAGTCTGGGGTTAGTCAGAGGTTAGTCTGAGGTTAGTCTGAGGTTAGTCAGAGGTAGTCAGAGGTTAGCTGAGGTTAGTCTGAGGTTAGTCTGGGTTAGTCAGAGGTTAGTCTGGGTTAGTCAGAGGTTAGTCAGAGGTTAGCCTGAGGTTAGTCTGAGGTTAGTCTGGGGTTAGTCAGAGGTTAGTCTGAGGTTAGTCAGAGGTTAGTCTGAGGTTAGTCAGAGGTTAGCCTGAGGTTAGTCAGAGGTAGTCTGAGGTTAGTCAGAGGTTAGTCTGAGTTAGTCAGAGGTTAGTCTGGGTTAGTCTGAGGTTAGTCTGAGGTTAGTCAGAGGTTAGTCTGGTTAGTCAGAGGTTAGTCTGAGGTTAGTCTGAGGTTAGCTGAGGTTAGTCTGAGGTTAGTCTGGGGTTAGTCTGAGGTTAGCCTGCGGTTAGTCTGGGTTTAGCCTGGGGTTAGTCAGAGGTTAGCCTGAGGTTAGTGAGGTTAGTCCGAGGTTGGTCAGAGGTGTCATAGGTCTGAGGTTAGTCAGAGGTTAGTCTGAGATTGGTCAGAGGTTAGTCTGAGGTTAGTCAGAGGTTAGTCTGAGATTGGTCAGAGGTTAGTCTGAGGTTAGTCTGGGGTTATTCAGCCCACTAATGAGTCACAGAAATGAGGAAAGCTCGGTCGACTCCGTGGTTTTATTCCTGGACTCTCACAGAGCAGCTTTGCATGATTCACGGTTCATAATAATCCTTCTTTATCTGACGCCACCCTGCAGCTCGTCTTCTGTCTGAGACAAGCCGTTCTAGCTCCTCCCCCTTTAAGTCAACTTTCCCCCGATTGGCTGCCCATTCTAAATACAACGTGCAGGAAGTGGGTGTAGAAAACCACCACTATGACATAATCAAAATATGAACTTTGACCTGCTGCTTTCTGTAGTGATGAGTTTGTGGACTGTGTGAGGTCACGTCCACACGTTTTGGCCTCCCGTCCTCACTGAGACACTGAAAAACGCAGCGTTTTGAAAACGCATACATTTCAAAATGGAGCTGTCCCGTCGCAGTATGGACAGTGAAAACGGAGACTTTCTAAAATGATGACGCATTTTAGTCATGTGATGCAGTCATATGACCTATTAAACTGAGATAGCGGAGGGCGTTACACAGCAGTTGTTTTGTTTGACAGCCCTATTAAAGATCAACATCAGCCTGTACATGCTCCTGAGAGCTTTTCTTCAAATTCTTTAATTCTCACTGGCTTTTGCAACTTTGTACTTTTGTGTTACTCGCAGCAACGACTCCACCTCATTGTGAGTCCATTTAAAAAACTCGGTGCTTTTCCTCCACATTTTGCCGACGTGTCAACGAGCCGGAACGTAAATAAACGGCAGACAGAAATGAGGCAGGTCGAATCTTCTTGCGTTTCACGCATGTGCAGGACTGGAACGGAAGCGTTTTTGGCCGTTTCAATGTGGACGCACAACTCTGTGGACGCGGAGCGTTTTCAGACAAAAACGCCGTTTTCAAATCTATCCGGGCCGGTGTGGACGTAGCCTGAATGTAATTTTCTGCCCTTCTTCAGCTGCTGCATGTGTGACGTGCACGTCAGTGGAAGAATGAAAACACAGCTGTGTCTGTGTGTAGATCCACACATCGTCATAGTCAGAGTTATGATAAGGTAAAACAGGAAGCTCCATTAACACTGCCTCAGCGAGGACGCCTTCGCTCCACCTGGGTTTCTGATTAATTTCCTTTCAAGCTTTAACGACTTCCTGCTGTTGATTGACCGATGGGTGATCAGATCAGCACCGCGGGGACTCACACACACAACTACTGCAGTCACTGCAGGATGGACTGCAGCACATCCGGTACAAACATGCACAGTTGGTTTAATGTAGTTCGTCTGGCGGTGGTGTGGAAATGCTCCCGACAACCTCTGTCTCCTTGATTACACGCTGTTAAAATGGCTGCTGTAGTTAAGCTTTAAATCAAACTTAAGAGAGGAACTTGGGTGATATGGTACTACAAGCTCATTAAGATAAGATGGGGCCTGATTATTTAAGACCTTGTATGTGAGGAGCAGGATTTTGAATTCTGGATTTAACAGGAAGCCAAAACAGGAGAAATCTGCTCTCTCTTTCTAGTCCCTGTCAGGACTCTTGCTGCAGCATTTTGGATCAGCTGAAGGCTTTTCAGGGAGTTTTTTGGACATCCTGATAATAATGAATTACAGTCGTCCAGCCTGGAAGTAATAAATGCATGAACTAGTTTTTCAGCGTCACTCTGAGACAGGATATTTCTAATTTCACACATGGAGAATGGATTAAGTGATGAATATTAACACAGGAATCAGATTACTGTAAAGGCTCTAGTAATATGTTGGAGAGCCAAAACATGTACAGTGTAAGTCACAGTGATAATAACGTGGTGTGCTATTGGATTAAGTAATCCAAAGTATTCAGAATACTTTACTCTCATTGAGTAACGTAACAGAATACGTTACAGAATACATTTTGGGGCATGTAATCTGTAATCTGTAGTGGAGTACATTTTAAAAGTAACCTTCCAACACTGACAGTTAGTCCTGGAATGGCAATGATGCAGCCCAGGCTTTGATATCATAATAATAATGCTTTTGAGCTCATGCTGTCCTCCTCACGATTCATTCATTTTGGCCTCCTCTAAGCTGCTTTATTTTTTCTGTAGCTAACAAATTAAAATGATCTCATAAATATATCCTTCATCACACTGAAGACTGAACACTGGATCCACATTTGCACGATCAGAAAACAGGAGAAATCTGCTCCCTCTCTCCTTTGTTCCAGATGTTTTCTTGCCAGCAGCTGTGCTCAGCTGTCACATAAATAATCCTCGCTGCCGTGCCGGGATTAGCACTTCAAACAGCAGCCGCTGCAGGCTAGCAGTTAGCTGAGGATGATTAGCACTTCACACAGCTGTGACTGAAGGCCCAGAGTTAGCACAGGTGTTAGCAGCTGGAGGAGCTCGGAAACACAATCATCTGTATTTTCCACAGATTCCTTAAACCTGTTGTGGTTTTGAGTATTTGCTAACATGTAATAGGTGATTATTCACGTCACATGAGCCCAAGTTTGAAATAATAATGGATCACTGTCTACAGGTTTACTTACCGAGTCCATTGCTGCACAGCTCACAAGCTGCTGCCTTCAGCAGGCTTCCAGAAAATGACCAATTAGAAGAGAGCAGACTTCAAGGGGGCAGGATGTTCAGACAGCTAGCCTCAGACAGATCAGTCTGATAGGTCCCCGTCCAGCAAACCTGCTAACACTCGTGTCTCCAAGTAACGATCGACTGACGGGCTCTCGTTTCCCCCAGGACACTCCTGTAACGTGTGTGAGACTCAAACTTTATTCTGAATACTTGGAACACTCACATCTGTAAGGTGACCTGTATGGGGGGGGCTTCTTAAATAGCTGTTTGTCCAAAGTTGCTGATCATGCCGATGGCGGCCATGTCTTTGGGTGGGTCACGTAGACGTCCTCCCGACATTATTACAAGACGTGGTGGAAGACACCAAAGTAAAGAACATTCAGGGGAAATCTACCAGACAGACACAGATACAATAATCTCACCAAAGCTGAACTTTATTGATCCGTGAGAACGCTGTGAAACGGTGACATCTGTACAGTGTGGTCACAGTTATATTTGGGGGATCCAGACACACGTCACCTGCAGAAAGACATCAATCTTTCATGAAAACACTGTGAACATTTGAGTTCTTGTAGGATGAAACTCAGTGCGAGCATCTCTTTGCTTTATGTGGTTTGTAGCTCCAAGACTCGCTGCTGTTTCATTTTCATGCACGTCTTCGTAAAGTCAGCAGAGTCCAGGCAGGAAGCGTGTTCATCGCATCCTTAATGGCTGTTACTCAACGACTGAAAACCTGTAATGATGATGTTTTCTTATTTTTCATGTGCTGTTACTGACTGCTGCTCCGATCCAAGTCTTCCACTGTTCTGTCACTGGGCCCAGAAACATCTCACTGGGACCAGTCTGCCCAGTTTAACCAGTCTGACACCCAGTTTGGGCCTTTGGCTGAACCTGTGTGTCAGATTAGTGTTGGCTTTTTGGTTTCTCTGTTTTGAACGTGTTTCTGAGAGTCCAAACGAGAGCTGGGTGTGAAATTCAAACAGATTTTCAGCTTCTGTTTTTCTTTTTATCAACAAACCTGCAACACAACATGTAACTGACTTCGTACCATTAACGTTTCGCTGCCAAACACTGGTCAGCTGTGGTTTCTCTGCTTCAGGCTTCCCAGTACATCTGAGAAATGTTGACACTGAAAGAAGAAGCTGAAATGTGAGCAGAGGTACATGTCAGGTTATACTGGACCAGAGTCAGTCAAGCTACTTGAAAAAAGTAATGTGATTACAGTAGCATGTCACAGCCCATCTCTGCAGTGGACTTATTAATATTTCAGGTGTTGCTTTGATATTTGCAGTAGCATAAAAATACGTTTCTCTTAGTTAAGTTAGATTTTTCATTTTGGTGGGCGCTGAGTTTGGTAACAATAACCCCGCCCCCACCTATGACATCACGGGTTCTCGATTGTGCGGTTTCAGCTTTGACCCGTGTTTACGTCCTCGTACGGTTTGTTGGCACTAAAAAGAACAGAGCAAGAACGTCTCGCCACTGATGCCCAGCTCTCACCTGAACTGTCACTGTGGTGGGTCAAAGGTCAAACTTATATCTTTATACGATGTTAGAGGTCAGACACCATGTGATCATCAGCCATGTTCCGCCGCCCCTCCCCCGTTCTGTTTTCTGTTCCCCGCCCTCCCCAGGAGAGATGGCATTATAACAGCAGAGTGTTGGTATAATGATCCCACGTGTTCGCGGCTTCATTCGGGCCTCATACGCCATCTTTGTTCCCCCTGCCTCACCCCCCTCCCCTGCCCCGTACCCCTCCCCCACGATGTTTCCTTTGCTTTGAGGTTGATTTCCTGTCGTGTTCCTGTGTTTGAGCCTCACGTTGGTGTCTCCCTGCTGCTGTGTGTTTGTGTGGGCAGTAAAACAGGACAGCGCTGCTCCGTTTTACTGAAGCATCACTTCATCTGAAGCTGTAGGGACTTCAGGCTCTGGGTTCTGTGCAGCGCTCTGAGGCAGTTTTTGTAGAAATCAAAGTGAACTGAATGAGAGCTTCACTGCAGCACCGAGAACAGCCCCACTGACACACCACATAACAGGGATACAGCCGTCAGCCGCAGCATTAGAAGCACCCAATCGCCTCCATCCTCTGAGCCAGGACGCTGCACGCAGGCGTGAATTAATTAACCAATAACACGCACACAAATACTCAGTGGTGGGCGGGGTGTTTAACCATGAAACCCATCTCATACTCGCAGCTGCCAGTCGCTGGCTCGGGGAGGCTCAGGGAGGCACGGGGGGCTTGGGTGACCGGCGTACCTCAGGAGACCTACCCAACACGCACAGGGAGAGAGATAAAGAGCTGAAGACACAGTCAGACCAATCAAAACTTGACCATGGAAATTGTCGTGGGTATATCACAGTGAGCTGGTTGTTCTAATAGTTGACGCCAAAATAAAAGGTGGAGGTGACTCTGGGTGGATGTGAGATGAGCCTCTGTGGATCAGATCTCCTTGTCATGTTCCTCAAACTGCTGATGCAGCGTTGGTTTCCAGTGTGTCCTGATGATGGGAAATAAAACACTCTTCATCAGACTGGACACTCTTCTTCTGGCGCTCCACGGTCCAGCTCTGACTCTTCTGACCACCAGGCCGTTCAGTGGCACCTGGACTTCTTTTTACCCTACAGATGAGGTGGTGACTCACAGCTCTGATGGTCAGCCACCTATAACAAAGTCAGAAGATGCTTTTCCAGTCAGTGGAAGCCTTACTGGAACCTTGAGGTGGTTCACTTGATGACAGGGTGGCCAACGACCACCTCAGGTGATCACCAGGTAAATAGGAACAGCTGATAGAGTTGAAGCCTCTGGGATGACTAAAACAACGAGGTCAGATTGTGTTTCAGGTCACCAAGCACCTTTCTGTTTCTGAAGTCTCCAGTACACCTGTAGGGAGAAACCAGTGAGTTCCTATCAAAGGTAGAGAGCAGCTACAGCCGAGTGTCTCCTCCTCAGGAAATGACATTTCAAACATGTAGGCAGGCAGTGACCCGTCACACAGCTCACTGTACGAGTGTTCGATGTTGGAAAGAAGTCAGAGCGCTGCGATGCTTTGTTCTGCAGGAGCTCTTCTGTGGGATCTGGTCTCAGTGGGCCTCAGGCACCCACGACCTGTCCCTGACTCGACCACAGTTCATCCTTTAGATCACCTTCACTGGTTATGCAGAAATCATCTTTCAGGGTCCAGAGAGGAAAATCACAGAAGTAAAACAAACAGAGCTCAACAGAAGGCCGATGGCCGTGCTCCTGAAAACCTCACGGGCAGTAATGAGACCAACACCCTGAACAGCAGGAGGCGCTCTCGCTCTGTGCTTGTGTTGAGCCACAGTCATGATGATGATGAAGGTTCAGACACAAAGGTTCACTTTAACAACCTTCACCTGCTTCCTGTTAAATCCACCCGCTGACCTTCGATTAGACGACACGCCGCTAAACAAGAAACAGCAACAAGACACATAAATACTGAAGGAACGATAGTCCCGCCTCCGCCTGCAGCTGCTCTCCTCATCACGCCACTTTAGCTTCAAACTTTCCATCGACTCGACTTCCTGCTAAATTATTACTCAGGCGAACTGTTAGTGGTTCTAATGTTGTGGCTGATCAGTGTGTCTGACACACACACACAAACAGACACACACACACTCTCTACCTGACAGCACACACTCAGGTGTGTCCTCATGCAGCTAGTCGAGTGTCTCTGCTGCGTGTTAACGTGTGTGTGCACCTATCGTATGATTTATTTTAGGATAGGAAAAGTGGTAGAGCAGAGCCCGAGCCCAAACTGAAAACCTCTTTTAGGTCCATCACCTCGACCTCCGACCTCAAACGCCGTAGGGCCTCCGGGGATGCCACGGTAAGGAGATGAAGACCACCAACCCTCCTCCCTCCTGTCCTCCACGTGTCTTCTGCTTCACTCCATCTTTTATCTGTTTGTCTTTCTTTTCTCTGCTCTCGCTCGTCTGTAATCGCCTCCTGTTTGTCTTCGGTTCGTCACGTGTGTCTCTCGCCCTCTCGTCTCATCTCCAGCTCCATCATCTACTTGCTGACTCATCATGGCCGCCCGTCTGTTGGTCAGCCATCATTGCTTTCCCACCTCAATCAGCTCATCTGTCCCACTGAGACAGACAAAAGGCGACAGACTGAAGACAGAAAGAAACGTCCGGTTCAGTCCGCCCAGGCAGGTCAGGGTCCGCTTGTTGGGTTTTCACACGGTTCACATCGTCCTCTTGCAAAGGAGAAGTGAAGAGGGTCAGATTGTGTGGTCTTTCTTCTCCCGTCTTTGTCCTGTCTTTTGTCCTGTCTTTTGATCTGTCCTTTGTTATGTCCTTTGTTATGTCCTTTGTCCTGCCCTTCGTCATGTCTTTGTCATGTCCTTTGTCCTGTCGTTCGTCCTGTCCTTTGTCCTGTCCTTTGTCCTTTCCTTCATCATGTCTTTGTCATGTCCTTTGTCCTGTCCTTTGTCATGTCCTTTGTCCTGTCCTTCGTCATGTCTTTGTCATGTCCTTTGTCCTATCCTTTGTCCTGTCCTTCGTCATGTCTTTGTCATGTCCTTTGTCCTGTCGTTCGTCCTGTCCTTTGTCATGTCCTTTGTCCTGTCCTTTGTCCTTTCCTTCATCATGTCTTTGTCATGTCCTTTGTCATGTCCTTTGTCCTGTCCTTTGTCCTGTCCTTTGTCATGTCCTTTGTCCTGTCCTTTGTCCTGTCCTTCGTCATGTCCTTTGTCCTATCCTTTGTCCTGTCCTTCGTCATGTCTTTGTC